AACCCACCAGCCACTCCTCGGAAGGAAGGTTGGGCAATCCTACTTCCGTAGTGATACTGCCTCGGAAACCCAAGGAGGGGTCGCTATGAGTCCGGGCCGACTTGGCAGCAAATAACAACAACAACATACAGTTAAAAAGTAACTTGATTGAACTCATCACTATGGTCAGTTTATTTGAGTTCCCTTGCTTGCCTCATCTGAGACTGAAGTTTCCCATTGGTTGTTTACCGAGACATTCACAAGACCATACTCTTATGTTTGTATTATAGCAGAGAGCATTGCTGGCCCTCCTGGCTGGAGTTGCTGAGTCAGTTGACATGGATGTACAAACCGGTTCTCTTAAAATGGATCAAAAACCTGTTATCTATTAATATAATCTGTCCTTGCCCAGTAACTGCTCAAGTTGGATTGAATTGCATATTGGATGAATGTAGTAAAATTTAGACTCGACTGCCCACCCCCACCTCTTGTTTATTAGAAAGAAATAGTATATATCCAAGCAACCTGCTGAGATAAGAAGTTTCAGTTATTTGGGAGGGGATTATAGGAGACAGATGTCAATGAAGGTGTTGAAATGTTAGGGGCCTTATTGTTTAAACAACCTCCCATGTGGGCACCCTCATGACCCTGCATGAACTTTATTTCTGGCCAGTGCATTCTCATGCACTGTAGCCATTACCAGTTTTATTTAGTGCCCTGCCAGTTCCCTTCCACTGTGGTGCTTGCTCTCTTTTCCTTGTGTCCTTTTTGCTTGGCATCTATGGTTTTTGCTTCAGACAGCTGGTGCCCCTGTTTTGTTGATGCTCTAAGCACGTGCTTACCTTGCTTGTTGGGTAATCCACCTAAGCATACACTTGTCAGATAGTGGCCTTGTATTGGAGCTGAGGTGAGGACCATCTTAAGGAAGGAAAAACAAACAGAAGACACTATGCTCCCTCCTCCCACGAAATAGCCTCTTCTCCCCCTCCAAACTCCCTTTCCTCCATGTTCTCTAGTATTTCTCAGCTCCCTAAGGAATAACTGTCAGCATCTGACTCAGAAGATGTGAAACAATCAGAGGAATGTTGTGGAATATTTACCAAAAGAGGGCGGAGGATAAGTGACCATTTAGCAGAATTTTTTTTTTTTTATATATAGTGAATGATGTTGGGAAATGTCCTTGTGACTCTTACTATTGAGCACAGCAGGGAGACATTTGCTCCGCAGATCCTTCCTGCAGACTTTGTATAAAAGTATTCTAACAACCAGGATCTGGCATTCATTTTTTGATGGTCATTTATTACCTTTGTGCAAAATACAAGATACTGTGATGGGAACTGAGACAATAAAGAAATATACCTGGTTGCTAATGTTCAGAGTCTTAAATCATCTCATGTTGTTGTTGTTGTTGTTATGTGCTCATAGGGACAAAAATTACTTCCAGCTGGGGTGCTCTTCATGGAAGAAAAGACATTTGGGCAGCCCTGAGGGAGTTGGGTTGTTGTTGTTGTTGTTGTTATGTGCCGAGTCGGCCCCGACTCATAGCGACCCCTCCTTAGGTTTCCGAGGCAGTATCACTACGGAAGTAGGATTGCCCAACCTTCCTTCCGAGGAGTGGCTGGTGGGAAAACAAAGAGCATTCTAGGCAGTGGGTAGGGGCTGAACCAAAGCCGTTGGGTAGGAAAGGGTAAGTAAGATGTGTGGCTAGAGTGGCGGCTCTGTGTGACAGAAAAGTCAGAAAAGAAGCTAGAAAAGGAGGTGGTTGTTGTTAGTTGCTGTTGAGTCAGCTCTGACTCATGACAGCCCCACATGTGCAAAGTAGAACTGCTCCACAGGGTTTTCAAGGATGTATGACTTTTTGGAAGACAAGTCTTCCACGGTGCTTCTGGGTGGATTTGTACCACCAACCCTTAGGTTAGTGGTCCAGTGTTTAACCATTTGCACCACCCAGAGACTCCTAGAAAGGAAGATAAGGACTCCGTCGTGGTTGCAAGAGAGCCTGGCTAAAAGAGTTTTGTGTTAATTGCACAGTTTGAAGTTACTAAAAGTCTTGAACAGGCACACAGCATAATTCCAGAGAGGGCTGGAGAGAGATGACTAGATTTGTCTGCAGCTGCCTTTTTCTTTCTTCCTCCACGCCGCCCTCTACACACACCTGGCTCACAGATCCTTCATCTTCAAGGACAAGCAGCTGCCCTGCTTCATTAACTAATTCTTTTAAAAAAAATAAAGAAAGAAAGAAACCACGCACTTCAAATTTCACTAGTGTTTTAGTGAGTGCAACATGAAATAGTGAGGGGAGGAAGCCACAGTTTTGGCCTGGGAAGGCCTGGATAGCATGCTGATTTCAGAAATACTTACAATCTCTATGACCTTGAACAATTTAGGCTTCCTGGACTAGGGTTTCCACATTGCCGCAGTGAATGGGTTGGTGAGTCATATCAAAGTAGATGCACATTACTTTGTAAACCCAAGGTCTATAAAGTTTTCAGTGCCTGATTTTTCAGAAATAGATTGCCAGGCCTTTCTTCCAAGGTACCCAAGGTGAACTCTAACCTCCAGCCTTTTTGTTAGCAGCCAAACACATTACCCATGAATTCCAAAAACCATTTGCCTTGGAGTTGACTCCCATTCTTGGTAACCCACTACTCTGACATACATGAATCACCATGAATCAGGGTCAATTCCATGGAAACTGCTGGTGGTGACCCAAAGCCCAGTTGGATTTAGCCATTGATGAGTCTCTCCTGAGACAGGAAGGAGGCTTCTGCATGACTATTCTGCTCCTAGCCTCGTGCTGCAAGCACAGGATGTGGATAACTGAAAACTGCCCCATAGGATTTCCAAGGCTGTAATCTTACTTTTTGGTTAGCAGCCGAGTGTTTAACCACCATGCTACCAGGCTTCTTTCCAGGATGTGGGTACTCAATAAATATTTGTTAAATGGAAATGAATAAATGAATAATTGACTGTGCTTGAAAAGCAGTGATAAACTTGAGACCTGGCTACCTCAGCTTAGCACCTCAAAACCCACATGCCTCTGATTTCCTCCACAGAAATCAATACTGGAGAGGTCATAAGTAATTACATTTTCATGGGCGGTCATTTGGTTGTTTTTTCCCACTTCCTTGGCTTTCTTTCAGGTTTTCCATGCCTGCCAGCCTGGAGGAAGGCCAAGAAGAAAAGACAGCAACTTGGAGTTGGTCAATGTGAATGTTAATGCACAGTGTTATAGACAGGATGTGTGTACCATTACACATTCTTTTCTTCCTGCGCATTTGTGGTTTTGACTTGTGGTAGAACAACCA